GTTTTTGATAAGTAGTTATTAAGTAATAACATCATAAACACAATTAAACATGTGAAAATACTGTGTAATATACCGAATTCATATACTTTGCATGTGACCATGAAAAAAAAATGGTCACTCGTCTTGTGTGTGTGCTTCTCATGTATACATGTTACTTGTAGTAAGGCTATTCTCGTAAAGCATGCACTTCTATGTTAAACCTAACTTCTTTTCAGAAGTCATCCAAGATCATCTAGCCGGCTACTAATTCCAAACAAAGCTCAATTGGAAGGGGCGTCCCTCCCAAAACCCATGATCAATGGGGGACAGTGGAACACGTCCCCAAATATTTTAAGGGGGGGGTGGGAGGTTGGTCTCCTCACATTTCGTCAGCAATGTAATAATTTTGTATGTCAAGAAGACGCCTGTAAATTGTTGAAATGAACTGCATAAATGACCCAGGTTTTAACAAACAGGTGCTATACAACAAGGTGGGTTTGCACTCACGAAATGTCCCCCTCACCTTTCAAAAAATTGCATTATTCACCCCCCCTCCCATTGCTAAATTCTAGATCCGCCACTGGAAAAATTTTGTGAATACTTTTGAACAGTCATTGGATCTACAGTTGCCTCTGCCTTTTTTCCTGATCTATGGATTGCTGTGTGCTAAATTTACATGCATGGCTAATGCTGAGGAGGATGTTGTGCATGATTAAATCTGTATAGTTATAATTGTTCAGTCTACCATAGCAGCCAAATTTTAAAGAAATATTTAAAGGGGTGGGTACACCAGAAAAAAATTAATGATTTTTTTCCCCTCCGTACCCTGGCCTTAATATTGATTTTCAACATGCTTTTTGTTATATGTGAATAATAATAATTTGATATTTAATTGTCGCAAGCTTTCAATCCTGTTTGGACTGACCGCCCACCAACAAAAATAATACTATACATTCTTAAAAACAAGGAAAAGGTTAACCAAAAAAACTGATTTTTGTTTTTGAAACATGTTAGTCTACAGTGATACTAAAATCTGTCATTTTATTTGTTTTATATGAAGACACTAAACAAAATAATGATGTTATAAATCACTCATTTGTTTTTTAACAGTTTCTCACTCACATACATAGGTATTTTTTTACAGCTTTATATCACTGTTATCAACCATATTCATTATATCAATTAAAAGTCAAGTTATTTATTTACATTAATTGATTAATGTCATATGTGATATGTATGATGTGCTTAACTTTCCTTTTGGAAAAATCATGTGTTCTTTTTTTCTTTCAAAAGATGGACTATAATGATCAGAGTGGTTCAGAGATGTCCACACAAAGTAAGACAATTCTATAAATTGTTTGAGTTTTATTGGTTCTAATTCATAGGTCATGTGATTAGTTTATTTTTCTGACTATTTTTGGGTATTTTAGGTTCTGGTGCAATCATACTTATCAAAATATAAAGATTGGAATAAATGATTTTAATAACTATCACAGGTACAGTTTACTATATTGTTTGTATAAATAATGTTTATATAATTTTTAATGTACATTCCGTAGATGCAGAGAAAGACTTTTTTCCCATTGATTATAGAAATCTTAACCTTAATTACAAATTGAACTGAAGCAATCACTCCATGTGCATACTTCTGCTCTGTGCCTGATACAATACACAGATCATTACCTTGATATTTTAACTTTTCTTCCCCAAAGTTAATCATACCTCCTTGGTGAATGTAATTAATAATAAATGTATTCATATTTCTGTATTTATTTTAGAGGAGTCAGATGGGTATCCAGTACAGATAGCAGAGGTTACAAGAGAAAAACTTATACTAAATGAAGAAGCCCTTGAAATGGTCTTGACGCAACCACAGTTGGAAGATTTGCCAGTGATGGTTTTGTCATGTGCTGGCATATTTCGCTCAGGAAGATCATTCTTACTCAATTTGTTGATCAGATACCTCAACCAAGGTGTAAGTACTGTATAGAACTATTTACAAAAGTGGCACACATTAGTGCCATGCAACAGTGCCACGAGACAGTGGCATGCCACACGTGCCACGCCACAGCATATCATGTGACTGCGACAGAATATCCTGTCGTAACAAGCAATACATGTACACAGCACATGCAGTGGCGGCGCCAGGGGGTGCTTAAGCGCCCTCGTCGGTTTTGTCAAGCTCCCCTCATCGACCACAGCACGTCCGGCAGTCACCAAAAAAAAAAAAAAAAAAAATAGGCCTAGTTTTCCCATCCTAGCCATTTCCGGCCTGCTAAAAGTCCCAATTTTTAAAAAAAATCTTGTTTTGGGAGGAGGGGACTCCCCCTCCCATACCCACCCCAGATAATGCTGCGCACTATAGTTACACCCATAAATACTTAGTCCCCCCCAGTCGGACATCTTAGGGGTCCCCCCATAAATTATATCCTAGAGCCGTCACTGAGCATGACAACAGCCATAATGCAAGCAACCTTCGTGCCTTGTTCTTCAGTCCACATGCTCAATAAAGGATGACCAAAGTGACAGTGATTGGTCTTGCACCAGTTTTTGGACAGTAATGAGGCCTAAAAAAACATTTTTAGCTCCTGTGCATGTAATGCAATAGGAACTATTGTAATCACTCTTCACTGTTTTTCCTGTGTGAGTGTGTGTGTGTGTGTGCGCATGTGTGTGTAGACATTAATGCAAATGCGCATGAGTCGAAGAAAAGTTTTCCGACATTTTGTTTTACCTCACGATGCGAAGTTTGATGTGATGTTTCTGCACTGCTGCAGTGTTCAGTCAGGGCTCACACTAACCGATCGGCAAGTCGGCATGGATGAAACTATTTTGGTTTTGCGGCAAAAAAAAATCAACTGCTGTAGGCATAGGCAATTTTTTCAAAGAAATTTGCTAAAACTATTACTGTGATTTGCCTATCAAATTACATTACCATTGTGATCTAAAATCACTATTTTGGGCCATATAAAGGCTCCCCCTGAATTTTTCAACCACCACACAAATTTGACCCTACATATTTTCTGATTGTGTCATTTACGATGACTTAATCAGAAAATATGGTTGGTTAAGTCATGTATCATGCATAGGAACATTGGCGTCTGCAAGGCTCTGGTTTTGTTTTCTGTCAGGTCTTAAACATTTGAGTGGAGGGCTGGGTGGAAAAAAGTTTTTGTTTTTTTGTTTTTGTTTTTTATTCTAACTGGATCTACATAAACAGCTTTGTAGAAGATGAAGGGTGGGTTGGAAAACTTTTTTTTTTATGTCGAAACAGAATACACATATGTACATTAGGTATAATCTGTGCATACATATAGGTGAACTACACCAAAAAAAGTCCAGGTATATACAGTAGAGTATGTAGCCTAATGAAACACTATTTGAATCACTCATAGGCTAGTGTGTATACTACTTACAGTAGATAGGCCTTAGTCTGTCTGAAAGTCCCTCCATGGCCTCTTCTATTTCAAACTCTTAGATGCACCACTGATGATATAATATCCTATTCCACTGTTAAAAATATTTAGAATACACAAACATGATTAAACAATGAGCACATCTAAAGTCCCACAACAGAATTGGCACCCAGGGCCCAAAAAGGGCCCATTTTTAGAAAGCCACAGGAGCCCAGCCCCATCGTTACGTGTTACTGCATAACATATGTTTTAAAGAACATAATAGTTGTAAATATGCCTTTTTGATGCAAAGTTTAAAGTCAGGCTCCGGGAGAAAAAAATTTTTTGATATGTTGTAGAACTGATTTTTCTAAGACAGAAAAAAGTTGTTTGACGAAAAACTGGGGAACGGTGAATGAGATACAGATTTTTTAATATTTAAAAACTGGGGGAATAAGGTGTAAAAA